AAGTTGTAGGGATGGTAGTAGGAATTTCCTGCAACAGGTCGTAGGACAGGATCTTCCCCTGTCAAGGTGGCAGGAAAGATGACGGAAGGAGAAAATAATCAGACAGATAAGTACTGAGGAGATACACCTTCCTGCCACCACAGGCATTAACTGAGTGGAAGGCCTTCACACCCTGCCAACAGTTGAGACCCTTGAGTGAACAATTAATGTGACTTAAGAAAATGTTCATGCCAGCACTGTGTTTAACTCTATTCCTTACATGCAGGAATACAACTGCCTTCAAGCAACAAATGGAGCAGCATGCCTGGCTGGTTTTGTAGGGGAGGATAGGGGTGGAGTGGGGGGCTAGTTAATCTGACCTAATTTTTGGGTGATGAGGGGCAGGGAGATGGCCACTGAAAGGTACCCCAGCCCTTGCTTCTGACCTTCCAGCCCCCAACTGTCTCTCCCCATGAGTCTCATCCTATGATCTCCCTGAACTGTAACCTACTGGCCCCACTGCTCCTGGACCTCCACAGAATCATAGAATCCCTACCGTGTGGAAGCAGGCCATTCAGCTCATCGAGTCTACACTAACCCTCCGAACAGCGTCCCCCACCCTGTCCCTGTAACCTTGCATCTCCCATGGCTAATCCACTTAATCTGCACATCCCTAGCCACTATGGGCAATTTAGCATGGCCAGTCCACCTAAACCGCTTAACTCTGGACTGTGGGAGGAAACTGGAGCACTCAAAGGAAACCGATGCAGGCACCAGAAGAATGTGCAAACTCCACACAGACTGTCGCCCGAGGGTGGAATGGAATCAGGTCCCTTTTGCTGTGAGGCAGCCGTGCTAACCACTGAGCCATGATGTTGCTGTGCCACCAGTAGCTTTGGCCTTGGAAGTGGTACTGCAGTTCCCAGTGGTTGCTGGCCTCTGACTGACGAGTCGCTTTAGTTGGTGCAGGATATCTCTGGCCCTAGAAATGATCTGGCAGAAAGCGCACAGGGTGACCACTTAGGTGTCTGGTAGGCATAAAATCCAATGTGCTTTCCTGTTCATGATTGTGAAAGGTAGCATCCAGCCCATCTTTACACCAACCACCACATTTAGAAGATAAAGCAAATAGATAGATTTGAACAATGAACAGAAACGTGGGAAGTTGACTTTAATGCAGAGAAGTTTGAAAAGATGCATTTTGGCAGAATGGATGAGAGAAGCAACATGGACTTAAAGGCATAATTCTAAAAGATATGCAGGAACACAGGAACCTAGGGGTGCGTGTTCAATGGTGAATGAAGATGGCAGGACATATTGAGAGCATTTGGACTTCATAAATAGAGGCATTTAAGTTCAAAAGCAGAGAAGTTTTGCTGAACTTAACTAAAGCTCTCGTTAAGCTCCAGCTCGAGCATTTTGTCCAGTTGTCATTCCATCCTAGGAATGATGCAAATGTCCCCGAGAAGGTGCAGAAGAGATTTAGCAATTTTCTTTCAGGGAGAGGAGGGTTTTAATTATAAGATTAAGTTGGAAAGGTTGGGTTTACTTCCTTTGGAGCAAAGATAGAGGTTACAAAGCTATAACAGGCTTTGATAACGTAGATAGGAAAATAATCTTTGAATTATCTGAATGTACAGGACTAAGAGACACAGATTTCAGAAATAATGTCAAGAGATACAGGGAAAATATGAGGAAGAACTTTTGTATGCAGCAAGTGCTGATGACTTGGCACTCACTGCCCATGAGGGAGGTGAAAGTAAAACAATCAATGGTTTTGAAAGGAAATTGGATGAGCATTGACAAAAAGTCAACTTGCAAGGCTGCAGAGACTGAGCAGGGAGTTGGACTGACTTGATTGCTCTTCTGCAAGCCAGAATGGACTCAGGGCCAATTACCTCCTTCAGTACTGTCAATGTCTCAGTGACCCTATATTTTATATTTTGAGCAACAAGGACATATCTACTAGTTTTGGATAAATGCATGTTAAAGCACTTTTGGTACCATTAAGGAAGATCTTCCAGTGTCCTGGATTACTGTCTTCTCAATTTGTATTATCAGAAAATGACTGAATAATGATTTATTTCAGTGTTGTTTATGGGAACTTACTTAACACGTAATGGCTGCTGCATTTACCAAACAAACAGTCATGACACCAATTACATTGATTGCCAAGTGTCTTTTCAAGGTTTCTGCCACCATAATTTTAGTTGGAGATCCCTTCTGCGAAAAAACAGGATTTCCTCTGAAGTTGCAAAGCCCTTGAAGACATTTTGTATCTATGTCACTTTGAGACATCTCTAAGCAATATGATAAGGCACATTGTCAATGAAAATCATTTTTTAAGCTAACAAGCTTTTAAATATATTTTGAAATTTGTTCTCCATAAAAAGCCTCCTAAATTGAGGATGCCGCTTTATTTTGGCTCATTCATTTACATCTCCGTTGTCAATATCACTGTTAACTTAGCAGGATATTTGCACAAGTAGCACTGTAAGAGTTATATCTTTCCAACCCAACATCCTTCGTGATTTAAAAAGAAGTTTCCAAATGCAATCCTAGTAAAATAAATCCTGACATCAGTTGTTTTCAAAAGTTTTTAGCTTTAAGCAAACTGAGAAAAAAATGACATTCTGACACAATTGACCTAACATCTTTTTCTTGCACGAGTTTGGATGACAATTGATAATTATTTTACTCATATAGTGTCTTGATAACAAATCTTCAGTTAACAAAGAAATATAGTGATATGACGAAAAGAGAAAGTTTTGCTTAAATCAACACTTACAAATATACTAAGTGGACTTAGATATCATCTTATTTCAGGAACATTGGCATTTTCTCAGACTAAAAGTATTTTACTCTGAATTAATCTTGAATCCCACTTCAGTTTATGCACTGAATTGTTTCATATGCAAAGCAGGCTTAATATTCAGATAATTGAGCTGCAAAATTAAACTGACAGGTGCATTCTGATTTGCAAATTTATTGACCAGGCAGCAGTTCAACTATGAGTGTCCATAGACAGTGTTCTTTTTTCACCACAACTAGACTTGTGGCCCCAAAGCATAACCACTTAAGTGCAAGTGCACCGGAGAAACAAAAGTAACTTATTGTGCATTATGTCAAATAATACTGTCATGGGAAAATGAGAAGGTAAATGTTAGGAGACCATATTCCATCAGATTCAACGTTGACTAAAGGATGGACTAGAGGTCACAAACAGCTGAAAATTTGAGCCACTGCATGTTGAGTCTGCCAACTTCAAAAAAAAAGTGTACACTTTTAATATGGTAAAACATCCCAAGCTGGTTCACGGGATCATTATTAAACATCATTTGATACCAAGCCACATAAAACGATGTCAGCACAGGTGACCAAAAACTTGGTGGAAGAGATAGGTTTCAAAGGAGGATAAAGAGGCAAAGAAATTTAGGGAGGGAATTGCAGAGCTTGAGCCAGGGCAGCTGAGAGCATGGCCACCAGTCATGAAGAGGTGAAAATTGAGGATGTGCAAGAAGCCAGAATTAAAGGAGTGCAGAAATGTTAGAAGTTTGTAAGGTGAGAGGTTGCAGAAATGAGGTGTGATAGAATTAGAAAACAAGGCTGAGAATTTAAAATATTTCATGCCAATCTGTGCTGTGTGGTAAGTTGGCAAAATTTGACCCCTATTAGTTAACCATGAATACTACCATGGGATGTTTGGTTGTATAAACTTAAGTATGAGTCTGTTGGGTCTAGGCCCGAAACATCAGCCTTCCTGCTCCTCTGATGCTGCTTGGCCTGCTGTATTCATCCAGCTCTATACCTTGTTATCTCTGAGTCTGTTAATGCTTGATTTTACGCTTACCTCCTGGTTTTTCATTTCGTATTGGTTTCTCTTCCACAAAATGTTAGCCCCAAAATGCTCCAAGAATCCATCTTTGACTCCCGTTCCTTATTGAATTTACAACCAAGTCATGAAAGTGAGCAAACAGTTGGCTGTCATCATGATTTCTTTTCTTTAAATTCCTATTTACATTTGGAAATGCAAATCAAGCAACTCCAATAAAGATTAAAGAATCCACATAACCAGAGTTATATTCGCTTGCCAACCCTAAAATCCACTCTATTGCTTCTTACCAGATTCCTTTGTAGACTTGGATCAACTTCAAAACACATGCTGCAACCTTACTAGTTGGCACATAATATTCGACATTCAATCCTGGAAGAACCCAATTGCATCAAGCTAACCATTAGAGCTAGTGAAGTAATTATTTTCAGTCTTCACCACAAAATAGGTAACTCTGGCCAAGCTTTTCATCCCTTCTGTTGACATTTCCTTCTTTGATTTGTCACTTTTTTTTCTCATTGGCCTCTGTAAAGCACTCTGGAATGCTTTTCAGAGTCAAAAGTCAAAGACTTTAAGTTGCTGTTGTCAAAATATCCAATAATCCAAATGAAGCAGCATAAGTAGTGAGGGAACATAGAAATATGGTGTTGAAAGATTTGAATGTTCAATCATTTAACTTATTAACCTGCTATTAAAAGCCATAAACTGCAAACATATTTAAAATATTCAGTTTGAAAACCTGATGGTGAATGTCATGAATATTAGGTGCAAATATAACCACAGCAAAATTGAATTTGTGGATTTATGTTTAAAAACAGAAAATTGGAAATAAATTAAATAGAAAATGCTGGAAATGCCTACCAGGTTGTTAAGCTTCTGAAAGAAACAGTGATTCGTTTTGACAAAGGTCATGCATCCAAAATGCTAATCTATCTTTCTGTTTCAGATGCTGATTGGCGCTTCTATGCATTTCCAGCATTTTATGCTTCTGTTTCAGACTTGCATTTGGCAAACTTCACTGTTTCAAGATTTCCCTGCAGAATGAAATCCTTTAAGAGAATCTGTGCAGATGTTTGTAATAGTGGGATAATTTAAGAAACGTATTGCATATCAAAAGTGTATTGCATTTGAAAATATATTATTTTTAACAGTGCATTTTTTTTTGTTACTGTTTTGTGTTTTTTGTTAGGTTCACATGGGAACCCATATGTGGAATAATGCTCCAGCAAGACGAGGGCGTCGTCTGTCAGTGGAGAACCCAATGGCTTTACTAGGTGGTGATGCTATGAAGTTCTCAGAGATCTTTCAAAAGGATTTGGCAGCTCGGGCAATGAATGTTGATGCAACATTCTGGAACCAATACGCTGCTGCTATTACAAATGGTCTAGCTTTGAAAAATAACGAGATTTCTGTTATACAGAATGGAGGCATTCCTCAGCTTCCTGTTAGCTTGGGTGGCAGTGGTATCCCTGCTTTAACTAATGTGACCAGTGGAATGGACAGGGTTCGCACAGGCGGCAGTCCGCCTGTTGCTGGGCTGGAGAAACCAAGCACAGAAGGCGGAGCAAATCGGCCATTCGCTAGATTTATTGAAGATAACAAAGAAATTGGCATTAACTAAAAAATGGCACTCTTAAATATAATTAACATATGGACCATTTTACCTTTGGAATCTTGTACTATATTATGTACAGTTTTTGGAGCATACCTTCAATAGTTGTTAAGATATGATTTCAACTCCAAATACTCAGTTGTTGGTGTTTTCTTGCTCCTTTACTCATCCCCAGAACCATGAAAGTTCCAAATTCTGGTTATGGTTTGAGTTGTCTTGCAAGATTTGCATGGTACTACTTGTTTCAATAGTAAATTTTACAAAAAAATTCTTCAAAACTAAAAAGAAAATTGTACGTTCATAAAATTAACAGACCCTTGATTACCGTGAACAGATGAACTGTTTGATGGATTGGAAACTGGGTGGGGCCATAGCTCTAATTTAGTTCCTTGACAACGATACTGTGAGTGGAATCGCTAAGGGCCTGGAAACCATAAACTGACTGAAGTATGGCTGGACAAGTGTGCTAATTGTCTTCACATGAAGTAGAAACTTGAAATTATAATTTTGTTTTCCTTTTTAAGATGTCCTACTCTTTAAAAAGAAAAAAACGGTGATTTTTGTGTCCCTGGAGATGTGTATTATATAAAAAAAATGTGCTTGTCTGTACTATTTATACTGTCAAAATTATGCGGGTCAGAAATAGTGTCCAAACCCACTCTCAATTTTGGTATTGGCAGAAATATGTGCAAGATATGTATATCTCCATGTTTTTAAATTGTAGCCAGATACTTAATGATGTCTGAAAGTATCTTCTCTCACCTATGGAAAGAACAAAACTTGTAGACTTGTCAAGTTTTCTTTCTTTTTCCCAACTGCAACTGAATGCCGTTGTGACTTTTTGGTTGAAAATTTTAAACTGTTTTAAAGAAGCTGCTATTTAACCCTTTTAGGTCAGATAATGTATTTCCGCTGAGAGAGGGTAGGATTATGTTTGAAAAAGTGAAATCCTCCATTAAACGAACTTTAAAAAAATTTAGACTGGGATTTAAACTAAATGTAATCCTTTCCAATTTCAGTTGTGTAGAGAGAACACACCTTATTTGTTATTTAAACAGTCAGAAATCAAGTGTATACTGAAGTACATTTTAAAATTTAATCATGGAATATAGTATCTCAGTCCTCCAAGCAAAGTTTAGCCTGTTTTATTTTAACATTTTTATGCTAAAATGTTACTTTAATAGACCCATTGCAAAAAAAAATGTGATGGTTCTTCCTTACCTGTGCTGCCTGTTTCTGTTTTTAAATTATTAATATATTTAATTGATCAACTGGTACACATTTGTTGCTGGCCCAACCCTGTACTAATATATTTTGGCAGGGGGTAATGAGTTCATTTAGGACTTTCTTGATGCCATGGAACTGCATATAGTTTTAAAATACTTACATGCATCACATAATGTGTTTTTATTTTTAAAATAAAAGCATCTACAATTGGATGACAACTGTTTTTAGCCCAGTTAATACTTCCCTTGAGAAAAATCCTTTCTTATTCAACTCCAACGTAGATGTTAAATTAATCATTTCACACAACTTAGCATCTACATTAAAATGGAACACGCAGGAATGTATGCTAATGTGTAAATGGGTGCATTAAAACTATACAAAAGGAAGTGAATCCACCAGAGTCCTGTATTTTTGAATTTGTAAAAATTGATAACAGGACACCTTATTTCTCCCCTAAAGTAGGTGGCAACATGAAAACTTTTATTGTTATTTTCTCCAATTAAAATCTGCTTTTAAGTGTTAAGATCAGGGGAAATGTATTTTGGCAATCCTTATTTTATTATTCTGTTTGCTTTGTGTTTGCTGCAGCAGAATATCAAATTGTGAGGCACAAATAGATTTTTTTTTAAATCTACATGCCAGTAGGCTCTGGCTTTGCTCCATTTTTCAGTGACCATAGAGAGGGGCATTTGTACACTGGAGCACAAGATTTTCTGCCCCTTTGCTCTGCAGAGTCGCTAATATTTTGCACACTTCGTGGAGCCTTCGCCTTTTGTGTTGATGACATAATATGTTTTGGACTTAAAAAAAAGCAAGGAGCCCTTAAGGAAACTATAACCCCTTTGCTTGTCATAATTAACTCCAAGTTAGAATAGTGAGTTTTGCTTCAATTCATTAAATTGTCTGATTTAGATTTACTTGAGCTGGAACTATCATTATTACTCAGTATCATCAAATGTAAAAGCATGTCTGGAGCAGATGCTGTGACATCATGTGTAATTGAGGTGTTCTCTTGCATCCATTCCCCTCAGATTGTGGCTGTAACTCCTTTGAAGTACTGGTCAGTAACTAGAAGCAATCACTGATATTGCTGTGCCCAACCTTCACGGAGTCAGCAATGAGCATGTGGATGGAGGTTGGAGAACAGTCAAGTTGTGAGGAAAACTGTCAGGAATATGTTTTCAGCTCATGGAACTGAGCACAAGTTTGGTTATGTAACAGTCATTTATTCTGATTGAGAGCAAGTTGTTCCAGAACATGATCATAATACTGCCGGTGCACAGTGTAATACTTCTGCGAGTTATTTTTGTGCAGTACAGTAGATGAAATGAAATGAGGACCTAGAAACAAAGTGAAGCCATACAAACCTAATATTGTGTATCTGAAAGTTCTCTTGACACTGTTGAACCCCTTGAAAGTCTGATTTTTGTGCCAGTTGATCATTAAGAGGGTAAATTCCACCAGCAACAAATTTAACTGAATACAGCAGCGTGAACAGAAAGTGGGACATCCAATTTTGCACTCGCAATGATGTTTTTCACTAAAATTATTGACTGGAGGAATTTCACATCAAACTAATTTGTATAATTTGAATTCAGTAGTGGAGCTGGGATATTTAAAGTACCTTGCACCTTATGCTATGACTGAGACGAATATCTATAAAAGAGTTTTTTTTGCAAATCTTTTTCGACCTTTTTAAACACAGCAGATTTAGAACAGAACAACAAATTTCCATAGACTAAAGACAAGTATTAAATGTAAAATAAGAAAGCATATGTTATGAATTTGATAAAAATGTTGTAAACTTTCATTAATGTTTAAAATGCTGGAAAATCCATTCAGACTGGCTAATTGTCTTCTTGGAATGCTTTGGGTATCAAGCACAACTGTCCATTATGGTAAAAGAGTGACACAACTGGTGATCATTAATTAATGGTGCACCATAGTAAGAAGCGTGACAAAGTTTTTAATCTACATTATTATTAAGTAAGCTAGCAAATTGGGATGGGTGGAGCTTAATCAAAACTTGAACTAACAGTAACCGTTTCGTGTACAGTACTACCTCATTTTTTTTGCATTGAAAGCACGGTGGACGGTGGTGTACAAACTTCCATTTGTATGAAGCTGTTTTTGAAGATATATTGCAATAAGGATTGGGCAAAAGACACGGTAATCACACGGTGGAATTGCATGGCGGGTATTTTGAATGGACTAACAGTGGGACAATCTGCTCATTGAGAAAAGAATTTAGGTTTCTCTTAAGGAACATTAAAATGTATCACTTTACTGGTTGTTTCTGCCATCTTGTCATGACCAACCAATACGAAGAGACATGACTGATCCTAGAAGAGCTGTTTATACCCCCACTAAAACTATTGTATTTACCACAAGGGGAGTTGTTCCTACAATGAGGACAATGCATCAATCCTGTGTTACTTCCACCTTTAAAGCACTAAGTGTGGGAATTTGGCAACCTTTCAAGAGCATAAATAAAATGAAAACAAAACAAGTTGTAAGGTGGCTTAACGTTGCTGTATTTTCAGCATTTGAATGTTTTATTTATCTGTGTCATTTTTTGGTGTGAATTTTTGTTAGCCAAATGTTAGCATTTGGTACCATGTAGTGTTCTGTCCATAAGGATCTGTAACTTAAGACTTCTAAAGCAATGTAAATAGGGCAGTAGGTAGACTGAACCCTTTTGTATTCAGGTGCTGGTTGTTCCTCTCTACATGGTGAAGAGAGACACTATTTTTATACTGCGATACCATGTAGGGCTGGGGAACCAACCTGAACCAGTTGGGAATTGTTACCTATATCCAATATTTTTATTAAACCTTGTTGGCTTGACACATCTACTGATTGAAATGGATGTCTTAGTCTAGGTTACTATTTTGTCATATGGAATAAATAAAAAAAATGCAGGATATGATTTGCAAGGTAAAAGTGTTTTTTCTTTCCCGGCCTGTCAATTATCAAAACCAGAATAGTGGCATAGAAGTTTGTGGTTTATGATAATGTCCTTCTAAAGAACCTGTTAATGAGAATATTTAACCCTGCAGTATCCTTTTTTGAACGGAACTTGATGTAAGTGTTATCTAATTTAAAATAAACTATTAAATGTGAATTATTAAATGACCTGCTGGGGATTAAAATGGGAGAATCTCTTATTGGTTACTTTCTTAATTTGTGAACCAGAGCATTACTTTGAAAATAGAGATGCTGTATCATACTTAATATGTGTTTATTAAGCAATAACTTTTTAAAGTCAATTTCCAGTGAGCTACCTTCGTCAGTGGTAACATTTTAGTGAAGACTCGAGCCATAAGATCCATTTCCTGCAAAGTTTGATTCCCCTACCCATGTGAAATGTATGTACTGTTGCATTGTGATGGACTTTACAGCTTGACCTTCAGTATTATGTTGAATGGTGACAAACCATGTTTGGAAATTGAAAGATTGTAACCTAAATTACCCATTGCTACAAAGCTGCACAATTTCACACAAAAGGCTGTTGCTTATCTTTAAAATTGTGTTTTAGATTGCAATAAGGCAACAGAAGAAAATTTCTCCTGTTCCTGAGCCAAAAGTGGAGGAGAAAAAAATGTCATATCTTACATCATGATGTGTTGACACCAATTTTAATACATTCAAACTATAAACCCTAAAATTGTTTTGCATATCTTATATATTAGGGCTAGCATTTGCGTGATATGCCAACGTGTACTAAATTCTAAGTAAAATAAAGTGTGCTTTTCATTCAGTCAGAACTAAAGAAAGATCGTGAGTGATAATAAAAGATTCATCGATACTGGCAAGATGTGGAATATGTAAAACACAGGAACATAGTTTCACTTTATTTCATTTTCTGGACCAGTGAGATGAAGGGCTGAGTGAACAATACAGAACTTGTGTTATGGCTAGAGGCAAAATGGCTTGCTGTAATTTCAACACTGGAGATGGATTGAATAACTCACAACTGAAATTTAAGTCAAATTTAGTCAGTGTCGGCTGTGAAAATATTAATTACATCTTAGTGCCGCTGTGGGATAAGCTAAAATATATCCCAGATTTAAAGTACAACATCTCCTTTGAAGAAATAACACAGGATCCAGTGCAGAACTCTTCCATTCACACAGTCTCTAAGTAACTAAGGAAACAAGTAACCTCAGAATACTTTAGGTGAAAAAAATACACGATTGAAAATTGCAAACATTTGAAAAATGCATGAATATAATGTTGATAAATGCATTTATTTTTCTTGGTTGCCAAGCAAAGGAACTTTTTGAATGCATACAACCATAATATCTAGATGAAGTGCTTCAATGCAACTTCACTCAGAATTCTTAGATGAGGAACGGTAGTCTTACATAAGCAGAGAACATTAACAAGTCTCTCTCATTCTCTATTATGCTGTTTTGTAGGTATCTGCATACACAATGCAGAGCCTGCGATGCCGGGTTGAATACAGACCCGATTTTAGCTCTAAAAATGAAACAAGTTTGAATTACTTACAATAATTTGACCATAGGGTCAAATCCACCAAGCTCTGTTCATTCTTCACCCAGAAACATGCTATTTATTTTTATTTGTTAATACTGCAAAATAAATTATCTCCTCAAAGTGACCTCATGGTGCTTGCCAAAATTCAATGTACCATTTGGTTGCCAACATTCCTCCTCAGTTAAAGTCTTCCTTTTCAATCATGAAGATGTATAAACTACATCACACCAAAAATCTGCAGTAAATAATTTCCATACAAAACTGAATCATGTCACAGATTTGGCATGATGCCTTACCTTGCCATAGTGAATTATATAGTTTTCAGATAGACATGTCAACTCCAATTATGAGCCAAAAACTTAGTTGATTGAAAAGTAAACATTATATGATGCAAATTCTTAACAAACACTAAAAGTGCCTTCAAACAAGATCAAACAGCATATCTAAATGGCTTTATTATACATGTGTGAAATATATATCTGTTCAAGGTAAAGCAAGCAAATAGAAGTTGATTTTTCAAAATTTTAAATCTCCCATTTACACCAAACTAAAGGATCACTGATTTCAAATCTAATGCCAGAAATGTGCAAATTGTACATGAAAATGTTCATAAATCCGGTTCAACAATTAAAATATTGCAGCCTGGGGCAGTGGTTCCTGTGTAAAATGTGAATGTGTCTTTTCTGTTGTTTGTAAAACTAATCTCACGTGTCTTTTTCTTTTTGAAGGGATGAGTGTGAAGTTATGCATATGTCATGGCTCAGTTGAACTTTCATATCAAATGAAGTGACCAAATTTGTAGAATTGATGGAAGTCTGATTTGTTAGCACAATCATAAGTGAATTGAAAAGAAACCACATGGAATTACACATTTATTAAACTACAATTCAGGAAAATAAATTCGTAATTCACTGTCACAAAATATTCAACATATTGTTTTGAATGTCAGGAATAGGAAACAAATTAAGGCAAACCCTATTTGGAAAAATAATCTGTAACTTTTAATGCTTTTTATAAGAGTTAAAATAATTCAAGCTTTTTATAGGAGTTAAAATAATTCAATTTGAAATATTAAGCTAGAATAATCAAGAGAAAAGAATGCCATGTACTTATGTGATGTTTTGCATTCCAAAGCACTTCAGAACAATTGGAATACTTTTGAAATGTAGCCACTTGTGGCTACCAACTTATGCACAGCAAGCTCCCAAGAATGGCAGTAATGAACAGATAATCTATTTTACAGATTTTAATTGAGGTATAGACATTGCCAACACAACATGGATAATCCCCCTGTCTTTCAAATTAATTACATGGGATAAAACATGAGGATAATTTCCAAATGGTAACCAAGTCACGCCACCAATCAGTTTTGTCCGACATGCAACAGGAAATGCAAAAAAGAAACAAAGATCAAAAACCAAGAGCACATGAAGAAATACCCAAGTAGGCGGTGATAAAGTAAGTTATATTTGTCAGCTCTGGGACCTGCAGTTAAAATCCGAGAATGCGAGCCAGAAAAAAACTTGAGAGTTTTCTCCGTTATGAAGTCATCAAGTTATCCCCAAACCGCGCCATAGCAGGTTACGAGGGCAACTGAACACAAACCCAGCTTTGCATTATTCTTCCACACAATCACTGAAGTTTGGTCACTGAAAAATGATTGAGCCAATACAGTGTGGGTATTCCTGCTAGAAACGAAAACGGGATTGAAAACTGTATCATGTGGAAGTTAACATCAACTCTTCAGATTGAACTATTGTTCAAATCACCTGAGAACAAGCAACCTACAATGGAAACTCAGCGATGCACGAAATGACCAGGGCATTTCGCTGCAGAAGCAGCATCGATATATATTCCAATCTGATGTTATACTTTCCCATTAAATTGTATTTTTTACAAGCACTCCCCCCACCTCCGTTTTGTTGTTCATGTATGAGCGTGCACTCAGCCAATCTAATCAAACACCTGTCCTTATTCTAATGCATTTTATGTGAAAGTGGTAATACTGATGTTCAAAATATGTCATTTAAAATTATGTTATACCATAATACTGCTAATCCATTGGTCATGAAATTGTTCGAGTTAAAACTCTATAATTACTCCGTTACCATATATACAGCCTTCCTCCACAGGACTAATTAGAGATTGGAGTGAGAAGATTTGTAAGCATGATGTGAAATCAGAGACATTTGACAACGATGCAGATCGATTTTCCATGTAATATTTATATCTTAAACATCCCAGTTGCAGAGATTAGATAAACGAGGTGCTGCCGAAACAAAATGTATGTACGTTGCAGATTCTTTTACCTGAATCGCTACGAAAAGCTGGTCGCATTTAGTAAGAAACAGTAGCTACATCACATGGTGGTGAAAAGTAATGAAGAACACTTCTCACTTATAACATACCTCACCAAAGTTGCGTGAAAAAAAATGCTTACACCCTAACCAACAAAAAGTTGCACTGATTCTAATCGCTAGTGACGAGATCCGTCAACAGTTCAATAATGTCTCGGGAATTCTATCGCCCCACAGACTCTCAGAAAAAAAGCGCTATTTCACTTAACACTTTGAACATGCCCAATTTACACCCTTTGCAAATTATACCTTCAAATTGCACCTTAATGCCAGCATCTCGCAGGGGCAGCAACGCCGAAATGTACGACACAAGGATACATCATTCATCCGGCGAGAGAGATGCAAATATATAAAATGCTCCGGAGGTTGAAACGTATGCAAGCCCTTTAAAACCTATTTTGAAATAACCTGAACATTCGTAATCTTCAGTGTTAAACAAGCGCGGCAAGGAACTCTGGAAGAAATTTTAGGGCACAATTAACAAATCCCTATGTTACCAGGCCTTGAAAGTGATTTTTTTTAACCCCTGAACAATTTTTGAGAGAACTGATTTCCACCATATGCAGTTTGCTGTATAAGTAAAATATTTTTAATTGGAGAATACAATTTGATCAGCTACAATAAATCGCAGAATCATTGAAAAGTTTAGATTCTTAGTTGTTGCTGTCCGCGCTCTGCTCTGGGGGTTTCTCGCGGGTTACCTGTCCCCAATGAGCAGTGCATGAACCCCAACATGACACGGTAACTGTAAAAGAGCAACGCAGTTAGCATCTCAGGTCTAGTGTTAAGATGCGAATGTTAAACATCCCCGCGCGGTTATTTTGTTTCAATTAACTGGACACTGTCTGCTTGTCTAACAGCTTCTCTGAGATCGCTGTTTGAACGCCGCTGTTTACGAGCCGATTCTCCCAAGAAAACGCTCATCAATGTTTGATGCTGCCACATTTTGCTTAAACAGCACTAACTTATTAACTAACAACACAGTACCATTTTGGGTGATTACACTTTTACGATTTTTTTTCTTTCTCAGTGATTGGTGGTTGTTTTACAGTAAGTGAACATTTAATCTGTG